AGCACCGCCAGACGCCACACAAGCAGGCCCAGCTCCCTCAGGCTCCACACCCCCAGGCTCAGCACCCCCAGGCTCAGCACCTCCAGTAGTAGCACCTCCAGGCTCAGCACCCCCAGGCTCAGCACCCCCAGTAGTAGCACCCTCAGGCTCAGCACCCCCAGGCGTAGCACCCACACGCTCAGCACCCCCAGAGTCAGCACCCCCAGGCTCAGCACCCTCAGCAGCACCAGAGTCACCAGTAACCTCGACAGGCTCGACTGCGTCTACCTGGGACACACCTGAAGGGGCAGGACCCTGAGGGGGGAGGGGGTCTACCGAGGGGGGACCTGGCACAAGGAAGAGCGGTGGTGGGGGGAGGGACGGAGTGCGGTAGGGGAAGAGGCGGTAGTAGGGGACCGACTCGTCAAACGTGACGTCCTGGGAGGACAGAACACGGCGAGAGGTGGGGTGGTAGAACTGCCACCCTGGCGCGTCAGGGGGGAAGCCAAGGAAGACGCAAGGAGCAGCACGAGGGGACAGCTTGTCCGCAGACAAGTCGCGGACAAACGCCCGAGATCCCCAGACACGGAACGCAGACGCATCGCCAACCTTCCCCGTCCACAGCAAAGCAGGGGAGGTCTCCGGTCTGGAGACCCTAGGGTGAAGGTTGATCTGATGCGCCGCGTACCGAACCGCAAACGGCCACAGAAAATGGGGGGCAGCCGCATGCATCATGGACGTACGGGCGACGTCCATGACCATGCCAATGCGGCGCTCAGCAATCCCATTTTGCTGTGGAGAGTCCGGAAGCGTGAAGGTCTGGCGGATGCCTCGTGCTCGACAGTAGGCTCGCAGAAGGCCAGAGGAGAACTCTCCACCTCTGTCAGAGTGCAGACGCAGAACAGGAAAGTCCGAACCGAAGCTCTGCCTGAGCTGGAGACGAGCTGCGCGGATCCAGTCGATCAACACCTCAGTGACATCACCCTTGCTGCGCAAGGGGAAGACTGTGGTGTAACGCGAGTAGTCGTCAACCACCAGCAGGAAGTAGCGCTCGTGACCCTGTCCACGGACGCGGGCCGGGCCCCACACGTCCATGTGAAGCGTCTGCAGCGGGGCCTCTGTCGGAGGAAACTGGGAGGAGTGAGGGGCAGCCCGCTGCCGCCCCTCGACACAGGGGACGCAGGTAGGGCCAGGCCCCGGAGGAAGGGGAGGGAGGGACCGGGGAAGACCAGAGACAAGGACACGGGAGGCCATGCCTCGGAGACGAAGCAGGGAGGGGTGACCAAGGCGGTGGTGCCAGAGGAGAGTCACGTGAGACAGGAGGCGACACGAACAGGGGGCAGACTCAGGACCAGACCTGGACGCTGCAGCAAACACCTGACCTGACGCAGCTACCTGACCAGACGCAGTGACTGGAGGAGACGCAGTGGTCAGGGTGTACAGGCTCGACCCCGGCCGACGGGTAAACGTGGCCAGGTGTCGGCCAGTCCGAGCGTCCGTGCAGTGGGTCACCCGCTGACTCCCAGGAGTGAACTGGTGAACCCCCGCATCCTGTAGGTCAGCACCACTCACCAAGTTCGTAGAGAACGAGGGGAGGTAAAGACCAGACAGGGTGCCAGAGGGGGCCGCCGGACACGGGAGGACAGTGGAGAAGTGAGCAAGGACAGGACCCCCAGAGGGGTCTGCCAGAGAGACCGCAACTGGCCGGCCAAGCGGCGTGAGTGTGGTGCGGTCTCGAAAGAAGGAGCGAGAAGCCCCCGAGTCAAGGGTGAAGGTGTGGGAGGCCGAGGCCGACGCAGAACCTGAGAGAGCAGACTCACCAGCACCTGAGGGAGCAGACGCACCTAGAGCAGCAGCCTCGCTAGCACCTAGAGCAGCAGCCTCACCAGTACCTAGAGCAGCAGTCTCAATGCCCGGGTCGGGCGGAAAACACCGGTAACAGTCACCCTCATCACTAATAGTCACAGTATACATGGCAGCAAGAATAGCATCAAAGTCAAGGTCAAAGACAGCCACACCCGCCCTAGACAGCTCGCCCCAGCGGGGGATCTCAGTGGCCTCAGGGAACTGGTGACGCCAAGCGTCCGTCAGGCGGCCAAAGCAGCGCTGGGTGGAGTGCGCACCCCCGCACTGCTCACCCGCGCGGTCGCCGGTGCGGAGGACGTAGGTGCACGGACCAGTACCCCCACCCCTCTGGCGTGCAGCGTACCACTCACGGAGCTGCTGAGGGGAGGGGATGTCACGAGTGCGCTGCTGCTGCTGCTGCTGCTGCTGCTGGCGCTGACCACCACCGGAGCCGACTCTCTGCGCAGCGCCACCCCGACCAGCTCCACCTCCTCCGCCGCCTCCTCCTCCACCGCCGCCACCTCCGCTCCCACCGCCACCGCCGCCGCCGCCTCCGCCTCCACTGCCACCACCGACACCTCCACCCCCGCCACCACCCCCACCGCCACCCCCACCCCCTCCACCGCCTCCACCGCCGCCTCCACCGCCCCCGCTAGCTCCTCCAGCGCCCCTGCCCCCCTTGCCCTTGCCAGGGCGGCGTCTCCCGCTAGGGGTAGACGCCGCACCGACCGACTCAAGCCCAACGAGGTCGGCCGCAGCAGCAGAGGCAACAGAGGGCAAAAGGGGGGAGGGGGAACACCCCTCAAAGATGGGGGTGCGAGGGTCACCACGAGAGGCTCCTACAGCTACTATGCTCTTCTCTGCTGCTAGGAGGGACTTCTCGAGGAGGTCAACGGTGAGAGTGGTGGGGCAAACAGAGAGGAAGTGGTCCCTGACTACGCGAAGGGAGTCAGGGAGCCGGGTGACTATGTAGTAGAGGGTGATGTACATGGGGGGGGGGTTCTTGGCGCAGAACTCTGCAGGAAGCGCAGCGCGGTAGCGAGTGTCACTAGTGCGGAGGTGCGTAATGAGGTCAGCGACTGTGGGAAAGGCAGCAAGGTCAGGGAAGAGGTACGGTAGCATGAGGCGGCTAAGTGCAGCAGTGGCAGGGGAGGAGTAGCGCGCAACTACAGCGTCGTACAAGGTCTGAGCACTCTTGTACTGGCTAAAGTGCGCACGCTCAGAGGTAGGTAGGTGGCGACGCACAGCAAGACGTGCAGCAGCATCGCGCGTGGCCCACTGGGAGCGAACAGTGGCGTCAGCAGCAGCAGCGGGGGCAGGAGAGGCACCAGAAGTGAGGTCAAAGAGGGAGAGGCCGTCTGCCCTGTCGCACTGTAAGAAAAGCTGCAGGTCATCTATCCAGACGTCAAAGTCAATGGCCCGACCCTCAGCGTCAAAAGCGAGGACACTAGGGGTAGCCATGACAGCAGTAGACTAGCAGCGCAAACAGTAGGGTGAGGGCAGTGCTGTGAAAGGGGCGCTGCTCTTACCGGACAGGGCGGCTCGGGTGGCTCGGCTGTAGGGCGGCTCGGCGGCTCGGTTGCTGGGCGGCTCAGCGGCTCGGCTGCTGGGCGGCTCGGCGGCTCGGCTGCTGGGCGGCTCGGCGGCTCGGCTGCTGGGCGGCTCGGCTGCTGGGCGGCTCGGCTGCTGGGCGGCTCGGCTGCTGGGCGGCTCGGCTGCTGGGCGGCTCGGCTGCTGGGCGGCTCGGCGGCTGGGCGGCTTGGCTGCTGGGCGGCTCGGCGGGGCCGCTGAGAGGGCGGCGTCCGGGGCCGCTGGGAGGAGGCGGCGGGGCCGCTGAGAGGGCGGCGTCCGGGGCCGCTGGGAGGAGGCGGCGGGGCCGCTGAGAGGAGGCGGCGGGGCCGCAAAGGTAGGTGGCGGGGCCGCAGGTAGGTGGCGGGGCCGCTAGTAGGTGGCGGGGCCGCATGTAGGTGGCGGGGCCGCGGAGGTAGGTGGCGGGGCCGCACAGGTAGGTGGCGGGGCCGCGAAGGTAGGTGGCGGGGCCGCACAGGTAGGTGGCGGGGCCGCGGAGGTAGGTGGCGGGGCCGCACAGTTAGGTGGCGGGGCCGCGAAGGTAGGTGGCGGGGCCGCACAGGTAGGTGGCGGGGCCGCGGAGGTAGGTGGCGGGGCCGCACAGGTAGGTGGCGGGGCCGCGAAGGTAGGTGGCGGGGCCGCGTAAGGTGGCGATGGGCGCGACGGGCGCGACGGGCGCGACGGGCGCGACGGGCCGAAAGGGCGGCGCGAAGGGCCGTAGGGGCGGCGCGACTCGGGCCGGAGCAAAACGCGCTCCGGGCAGGAAAAAAAAAAAAATTTCGTGGTGGTGGGCCCTAGGAATCGTTCCCACTAGGGAACCTGCTCGATACCATGAGAAGAAACGACGAATGAAATGACTAAGTGAAAGTTGGGTACAAAAAGCAAACCCTAGAAAACTGTACCCCATATGTGCCACCCCACTATAGCCTACAGTAGCTATGTCATATAAATCTGACAGGTTGGTAACCCGCGCTCCGGACCTCCGCCTCGACAGTTCCCCAAACCTCGGCATTAGGCCCGTCGCGCACCCCATTTTTCCCACGTTACCGTTACCACCATAGTTTCGCTATATATTCTTTGCTCATTCCTTCGCTCATTGTATCTTGTCTCGATAGTGCAATCCTCGCTCGCTCACTCCATTGCACTCGTAACATATATCATGAACACTCAATCCGTGATTTGAGTGACCTTTATAATCCCAGCAATGATTGACTTTAGATAAGTAGTTTCTAAGACAGCAGACCTGATCTGATCCTTGGAAACTAGTTGAACTATGGTAGTGATTTTTTCCGTACAGTTTCAACACCCAAGTAATGCTTGCAACAAACTCCCACGCTTGACAATCCGAAGCGCCAGGGTGGCTGAATGGCTCAATCAATGGTTTTCATCTGCACAGGCACAGCAATACACGAAGATAAACCATGTCGGGCTGACCAGTTTCATTTCCTCGACTGAACTACTGCACTCATGAGATCATGGCGCTCAACATCACTGTTGCACAAAGCATTAGCAAATATGCTGGAACTTCATAAACAAACAAACAAGCTGTGGACCTCAGGGAACCTTTGAGGGTCCATATTCCCCAAGTCAAATCACCCATACCATACCTTCCAGAGCCCATCGTTGAGGTAGTGCATTAAAATGACGCCTATGCCCTTGTTGATCTTGCGACTGGGGAGGGGCAACCAGAGAGAGGGATGAATGGGAAGCAAGGTGGGATGAGGTGGTGTCTGGTCGACGCCTGATTTTTTTTCAAGCTTGCAAGTTGCACATATAGAGGAGCCGTTGGATAAAGGAGAGAAAGGTATTTCAGGAGAATACTGGAGAGCGGTTCTGAGGCATCCCAAAGGCAGTCTCTTAACCGACTGGCCAGCCTAATCCTCTGCACATAGGCATGCTCTCATATGTCATACTATTTTTTAAGGAGCCTACAATGCCGACATGATATTTTTGAGGCACCTAAAAAACAGACTGGTCTGCCTAATCCTCTGCACGTGAGCATGTCATACCGTCACATGCCATAACCTTCACATGCCATGTCCTTCATATGCCATACCCTTCACATGCCATGTCCTTCACATGCCATGCCCTTCATATGCCATGTCCTTCACATGCCATGACCCTCACATGCCATATCCCTCACATGCCATGCCCCTCACATGTCATCTGATGACATCTTGGTGTATCCAATTGCTAGAGAGTTCTCCTTGCCCTCTGCGAATATGGGCGCTTGCGTAAAGACACACATCGTGCCTCACATGCCCTCCTCACATGCTATCACATACCATCTCATGCCTCTTTCTCACATGTTATCTGATGACATCTTGGTGTATCCAATCGCTAGAGCGTTCTCCTTGCCCTCTGCAAATATGGCCTGGTAGGGAACAGAAACACATGGCAGGGAGGAGCATGCGAGTGAATGGAAGGGTTGCGGTGGCAACACATCAAAGAAAAGCGGTTGGCAAGGAAATGGATCAATTCCCCAAGTTATACTTGAGGCGTCTCGTTTTGAGTTTTGAGGAGCCTCGTTTTGAGTTTTGAGGCGCTTGAAAACAAGGAAATGGGTCCATTCCCCAAGTTATTCTTGAGAATATTAAATGATGACTGGATCAACAGATTCTGGAGAATGGAGCTGGTGCCCAAATGCCACAAAGCATTTTCCTTGCCTTTTGCAAATATGGCCTGGCAGACCAAAACACACAGCAACACAAAAGGAGGTGGAGCAACACAGACACATGCGGTTAGCTCCTCACATCACAAACCCATGCTTTCCTTTGAGTTTTTTATTAGGCTCTGTCATTTTAGAATCCTAAAAAAAGGTTCACCACCAGAGCGTCGGGTGGAATGCCGTCGCCCTATGATGGATTATACGCGTGTCGTATATACGCTAGTGTATATACGCTAAACGCGAGAGGGGTCTGATCTAGGACACGCTTTTCTGGGCAGCTAAAAAACTTTCCTGGGCATGGCAAAAAAACATTCCGGGAGTGCAACAAGGGGGGGTTCTGGTGGGATGTGTTTCTGCAGAGTATTTTCCCACATACAAAAATTTCCATACGGCCATAGATAGAACATCAATGTGCCTCGCTACTACATAGTCTACTCTACCTATCACCACCATTTACCCCCTTCTTGACCTGGGTTCCCTTTCTACTACTCATACTCGTCCACCAAGACCTCGTCCTCACCTTCCTCCTCCTCCATATCATCCGCAATATTGTAGCCAGCGGGGATGGGCGGCTCCACCTCATTCCCGTGCACAACTGATGGCATCACATCATGGCGCGTGTGCCATCCGCGCACAACGTTCCAATTGTGTGTGACGTACACTAAATCCGAGCATTTAGCGGATCCGAGGCGGTTCCGTCACGCAGTGTGGACTGATTCCCACTTCGCCCATCCACGCTCACTCGGAGATGCCGAGACGGGCTGCGAGAGAACCTTTACGGCGAGCGACGACAGCTGCGGCGCATCCGTCCCGTTCCACCGCCACCACTTAACCATGCTGTAAGTGCCCGCCTTTACCTTCTCCCTCTGTGAAATGGCTACAGGCATCCCGAAACTCCCTTTGAGGTCAAGGAAAGACCTCAGCTGGTCCCCCAATGCGAGCAAATAGTCGCACTCATGAACCCCCTCCTTCTCCCGCACGGTGAGGAACTCCGCATGTTTGGAGAGGAAAGCCTTGAACACCCTTGTGCATTCCGCATCCCCGCCGAAGATGTCCTCCTCTTGGTTGGCGGGGTTGAGGATGCGTCCCGCCACGTGCATGGCGCATGCAAGACTCCCGTCCCACCTGTTTTTCAGGATGCGGTGGATCTGCTGCTTGTCGGTGCTGGACAACTGCTCCTCATCCGCATCGATAAGGGCCTCCACATCCTCGGTAAGTTGGAGCATTATGTCGTACATTTGCCCCATCATCCCCTTTGTGCTCCCATCCGTCTGCCGCATCGCGATGAAGGGGAGCTTCATGAGCTTCGTGAAGAACTCGGCGGTCTTCCACCAAGCCGCATCGAGTACCTGCGCGGCAAACCCCCCCGCTGCTTTCTTTCGATCCCCCACCGCCCAATCTTTCCACAGGTCGGAGAGCACCATCTGGGTAAGGGAATTACGAAGGGCACAAAGGCGGGAACATTTTATATACTCTGTCCCGAAGCGTGTCCCCGCTGGCTTCAACGCCTGCATCACGATCCCCTCCACCAGCTCCGGCGTCTGCAAGTACCCCCGCGTCCAGTGGTGGTTGCACAACTCATTTCCCCAGCCCGATCCACCACCCCTTTCGCCCACCCAAGCTTCCCCACATCCTCCATGAGGAGATCGAGGACGTGGGTCGCTCAAGGGACAATCTGAATGTGGGGCCATTCTGCAACCAAGGTCCGGCACGCAACCGCGTAGTTGGAGCCGCCGTCCATACAAAAAGCGACGATGTTCTCCGCCCCCACCTCCTCCACCACGGGCTTTAGTAACCCCGCAATGTATCCCCCTGTCTTCTTCTCCATGTTGCAGTCCTCGCACACATGCAACACGGTGCCCGCGTCGTTGACGAGGAAGACATTTGCCTGCGGCCTCCCGTTTGTGTCCGTCATCATGTCGGACGCGACAGTTACTCCAACCTTTTTCCAGCTTGCTTTGATGCCCACCAACCCACTTTCGATGCCACGACGACATGCTTGAAGACCGCTACCGCCGATGTACTTCGGGCCTGGTGGAACATAGTTTTCGCCGGCGCGGGCGACGTCTCTAATTGCGTTGACGAAGAGAGGATGGTCGACGATCTGCTCCGGGATGTGACATCCCGCAAACATCAGCGCAAGCGACTGATGTGCTTCGCGTCTTGCCGATGCAGCGTCGCCCGCGAGATAGTCGGTTATGCGGGACCGCTTCCCACCTGGTGCCACCGAGGCAATCGCAGCCTCAGTCGATCTCCGCCTCTCCTTTGCATCTGCGGTCTGCGGCCTACTTCTCGTAATTGGACTTCATCGCGACCCGAACATCAGCCGGGGCTTTCTTGCAAAGTGTCACCTCCCGGCGCTTCATGGTCTTCCATGACGTCAGGTGTTGAGCGCAACGGATGGCGTCACCAGAGAAGACAAGGAGGCATTATTTGCACTCGTACTGCTGTGCCTTGCCCTCCTCCCGCTTGATGAGCCTGAAGTGCTGAAACACTGGGTGTTCTACATCGGGAAGGTATTCCCGTGACGCAGCCGGAGGATCCCTCGCACTCTCCACAGTCTGGACGGAAGGCGACGTGGGAGATGGAGAGGAGGACATAGTCGTAGGAGCGTGCTATGCTAACTAGCTAGCGGGAGGTGAAAACCGAATGAGATTGACATTTTGACGAGTGGCTTAATAGCATGATGATGTGTTTGTATGCGGTGAAGCGGAGCGATTGAATTGTGGCAACGTGCTTGCGCGACTCGACATACTTGACCATGCAATTCTGAACGTGCAAAATGTGAAGGTGATAAACGCGACTCCAAGTCACGAATCCAATTTCCAGCCACGACAGACACTTGACGTGCAATCTGAGTTCACAGAATTGCTCGTCTTGCAACTCCGCTGCTTTTGAGCTATTTGAAAATTTTTGGGTAGGCGGGCAGCCCCGAAAAAAATCTGGGCTGCGTATAGCGTTTCCACTAGCGTTTAGCGTTTAGCGTGTACATGCTAGCGTACAAACGCTAAACGCTTAAGCTCCAAAGCGTATAATCCATCATAGCCGTCGCTCATCTTGCCTCCCGGGAATGTGAATCCGGGGCACATGATGTTGGCCCCTGACATCACGAACTTGATCGCGCTCCCCTTCAGCGTTGAACAGATATATTATGTTTCACTCACTCACCACCGGGGAGTTTACAGGAATGCCGTCGCCCATTTCCCTCCCGGGGATGTGAGTCCCGGACACATAATGTTGGCCCCTGGCATCACGAACTTGATCGCGCCCCTATCCACCTGCATCTTGCACATCATACCCGGATCTGGATGGGGGAGGGGGGGGTGTGGGGTAATGGGGGAAGGGGAAAGAGAGAAGGGCAATAGACAATGGAGCGGCGAGGAGGTAAGCACCGAACACATGATGTTGGCCCCTGACATCACAAACTTGATGGCGCCCCTATCCACCTGCATCTTACGCATCATGTCCGGGTCTGGTGGAAGGGGAAATGGGGGGAGCAAGGGAGGGAGGGGTGTAGGCGAACAGGGGAACATCGGGGTCGGTTGGCTTGATAGCACCCCTATCCACCTGCATCTTGCGCATCATGTCCGGGTCTGGAGGGGAGGGGGAGAGAGGTAAGGTGAAAGGGGAAAACACAATGGAGCTGCGAGTATCATGTCTGGATCCGGTGGTTGGGGGAATGGGGGGGTGGGGGGGGATGGTGGTCGGTTCGGGGAAATGGGGGAACTAACTTGATAGCACCCCTATCCACCTGCATCTTGCGCATCATGTCTGTCTGTTGGTTGGGGGAAGAAGAGGAATGGGTGGGTGAGTTGAGTTGCGCATCATGTTTGGGTTTGGTAAGTTGTACATGCAACAACAGCGCGTTTCTGCTGCCTAAACTCCCAAAGCTGCGTCGAGATTTGAGAAAAGAAAGACGGTGGAAAAGCCACGTGTATGAAGAAGTGTTTTGAGATGTCTCAAATCACCACAACAGCTCGTTTCCGCTGCCTGAACTCAGCTGCGTCAAGATTTGAGAAAAGAAAGACGGTGGAAAAGGGAGAGCGAGACGGGGAGAGTGGACGATGCGGGACGAGAGGGGGAAATGAAAGGGAAGGTGGAATGCGGGAAAACTGTGACATGCAGGCCACGTTGATATGTAAGAAGATTGATAGGGTCGGGAATAAGCTTAACGTCACAATACATATGAATAAATGTGTTGCTGAACGTACGCTACACTAAAGCCATGCGAACGCGGCCACATACCTTCCGCCTTCCCGCCTGCGCCAGCGCGTCCTTCTTTCTCGACGACAGCTTAGGCGATGGCTCGCCGGTATCTATGGAATGGTGCACGCACTGTGTGATGCCCTTCTTTCTCTCCGACAGCTAAGGCGAAGTGTATTGAGGGTATTTTTGAGACGTCTCAGAAACTTCTCCTTCCCGCCTGCGCCAGCACATCCTTCTTTTTCTCCGACAGCTTAGGCGATGGCTCGCCGGTCGGGACCATGTCGTAGGAAGGAAAAGAAAGGCTAATTTTACGAAGAAAAAAACGGTAACTTGCCTCGCCACTATGAGAATTGTTTCAGGAAAAAAAGCAGCAGAGAATGACAGAAGACACTACAGATTAGAGACTGACGCGGCACAGTAATTATGGTGGGTACGATCGAAACAGAAAAAATCAGGTTCATGGGGAGGAAGGCTAGGATATGTGAAACGGCAAAAAGTGACGGAGGGTCATTGGATGAGATTAGATGGGAGCAACAATAATGGTGGTGGACACAGAGAATGCCGAATGTTGCCTACAACCTCATGCGCATGACTTGCACAGGCAGCAATAACGGCATGCGCTCATGCCCACCTACTCAACCCTAAACGCATTCCGTAGGGATATTCCTTCTACTCTTAGCCAGCTTCACGCATCATTGCGCTAAGTCAGAGGTCTTCTAAGCACAGCAAAAAGCGCACTGCGATGATAACTCAGGCCACAAAGAAGGACGAAATAAAGCATAGCAATAAGGTTCTCAGCCTTCGCGTCGCCATAGTTCACGAGCGTTACAAACAGGAAGATTGGAGAGTCCGTTATTCAGCTCGCCGTGTGGTTGCGAAGTAATCGCGACGGTTTTTTTAATTAGCGGAGTATAGGTAGGGAACGATAACGAGTTGAATGGAAAGAGGACCCATCTTACACGATGATCCTAAAGTTGACAGCAACTTTTGCGACTAACATGGATGCTGCGACAAGTGTACGATGCGGAAGCACTGTCACAGGTCGCTGCTCCAGTTAACAACGTGTCAGTATTCCGTATCTATGGTTTGGTGCATGGGTAGTGTGGTGTGGTTCTATGGCTGCCTAAACTCTTCTGCCAGGGTTTGTTTTCTGCAGAGTTGGAGCAGAGGTTTGTTTTCGTTTCATTTCCTTGCGTATTCGTCTATTATGCAAAGTCACATATAGTCGTAAATAACAGAGTACTTATATAAATGAATACGGAGATACAAGTGCTTACTAAGATCCCTAGGATCCCTAAGTGTTAACCACGTAATCTGCAGTGCAGATCCCTGCTGCTCGCCTTTCTTGGTTCTTGGTCTTCTCGACATCACTTGGCTGCTAGAGGCATTTTTTCAGGGTCTGTTTGGGAGGGAGGGGACTTATTGATAGGGAAGAAAGGAGGGGGGACAGTTAAAATTATATACAGGGCAGCAAAATGTAACACCTCGAGCACAACCTCCTTGGTATCTTCAAGTTCCCGCAAGGTTGACCAGCGCGAGGACGAGAGGGAAGATCGAAGACAATCCCAACCGAACTTAACCACACTTGACCGTCCGAACCTAACGTCCTAGCTAATTCGAGCCTATCTCCAGACTAGTTCGTAACCCAGATCCGAGCCTAGCTAAGGCTAATGCGTCTCCTAGCTAAGCCTAATTCGAGCCTAACGATCTGACTAACGCTCCTAACGTTCTGACTAGCGCTCCTAACGCGCCTAACCACCCAGAGACCCAGGGCCAGACCCACTTACCGAACCCACCATACATGGCTGGTTGCTCCAAGCTCGGTGCTCCAAGCTCCGCGCCCCTCGCCCGAATATTCTCCTGCCCACAAACGAAATGGCCGATTGCTCCAAGCTCTTTTACCACTGTTGTAAAGGACTCTCCTCTAGTTGACAGGAACTGGGATTTGAACTAAACAATATAGCACTCTGTTAGCTTTCCAACGAGCCGTGGATCACCTCGATTGCCTAAGTATCGAGCGAGATATTAGCGTTTATGTGCTAGGTAGTGCTCTTGGAATCTAGGAGAGGAGCTCTCTGGATTTTGTAGTCGAATGTATCACATACAAAGTGATTCTCGATTTTATTATATTCCATGCAATACAAAACAAACAAATTTATATGAACTGTAATGCATCGAGTCGCACATGTAACCTCGAGTCGCTACACTCTCGAATGTTCAAGTAACATTTCGAAGGGGTGAAATTCGGAACTCGAATTTCACCGAATCGAATTCTCCTTCAGTCTCGATTCTTCTTATGCTGCCATGTGGCACCGAAGTGCAGGTTCTTCCGAAGTCAACCCATACTTCTTGGAACCTGCAACACATTCATGAAACTTCCAACTTGCAGCTCACTCAACCGTGAGCACTAGAAGGAACACTTTCAGTGGTTGGGGGCAATCATTGCCTCACGCAACCTCCAACACTCCCCCTTGCACCCAAGCCACTAGGTGTTCAATGTTACACGCTCACAGCATGCACGGAATGAGTCCTTAGGGAGTGGTTTAGCGAGGAAGTCCGCGGGTTGAGCTTTGGTGCTCACATAAGTTAGTTTGACTTCACCCTTCTCAACCGCCTCACGAATGAAGTGATGCTTCACCTCAATATGCTTCGTTCGTCTGTGAAGGACGGCGTTGTAAGAGAGGCTTATGGCGGCTTGGTTGTCACAAAAGAGAGGAGTTGGGTTCGGTTGAGGATGCCCAAGCTCCGCTAGAAGACTCCGTAGCCATATTGCCTCCATGGCACCCTGTGTGAGTGTCATATACTCCGCTTCGGTTGAGCTTAGAGCCACGGTTGGTTGCTTCTTGCTTTGCCAACTCACGGCTGCCCCAAGAAAGGTAAAGACATACCCGGAGGTATTCTTGCGCGTGCTCGGATCTCCCGCGTAGTCCGAGTCGGCATAGCCTTTGAGTTCTATTGGGCCGGCTTCATACACGAGCCCCAAGTTAGGTGTGCCTTGGAGGTGGCGTAGAATGCGTCCTCCCGCGCGCACATGCTCGGTATGAGAGTTGCTCACGACTCGTCCAATCACCCCAGCGGCGTATGCGAGGTCGGGACGAGTAGAAACGGCGGTATACATGAGCGAGCCCACTAGCGAATGAAACCGCTTCCCTTCGGCTTCGACGAGGGTGGATTCTTCCTCTCCCGTGAGGCAAGAAAATCCCGTAGCTAGTGGTGTTCCCACCGGTTTTCTATTGCCCATGCCAAAGCTCTCCACTACCCCCTTCACATACTTCTCTTGGTGGAGGTGGATGGTCCCGTTGGCTTGGTCACGGTCGACGTGCATCCCAAGGTAGTATGTGACCGGCCCCAAGTCCCTCATCGCAAACTCCGCCCCTAGCCGTTGCTTGACCTCCCGAATGAGGTCTTTGGAGTCGAAGAAGAGGAGTAGGTCATCGACGTAGAGTAAAAGCACCAATTGCTTCTCCCCCTCCTTCAACACGTACAAATTGCTATCGCACTCGCTACGAGCGAAGCCGTGTTGAAGAAGAAAGCCGTCGATGCGCTTGTACCATCCGCGTGGACTTTGCTTCAAGCCGTAGAGGGTACGCTTGAGCTTCCATACCCTTCTGCTACCATCATCGTACCCCGGGGGTTGCCGCATGTAGACCTCTTCCATGATAAGCCCGTAGAGGAAGGCGGTGCAAACGTCCAATTGCTCCACTTCGAGGTTGAGAGATGCCGCTAGCGCGAGCAACACCCGAAGAGTAGTAGCCTTAGCGACGGGAGCGAAGGTCTCACTATAGTGCTCCCCCTCCCGTTGAGTGTATCCTTGAGCTACAAGCCTCGCCTTGTAGCGTTCGACACTCCCATCGGCTCCCAAATTCTTCTTAAGCACCCATTTGCACCCCACCAAGTAGGCACCCTTCGGTGGGTCGACGAGCTCGAACACGTCGTTCTCTTTGATCGAGGCTAGTTCCTTCTCCATCGCTTGCTTCCATAGTGGCACATCCGGAGAAGCCAAAGCCTCGGTATGGGTGCGAGGGTCACCCAAGGTTGCGAAGCAATATGCCGCACGCTCCTCGTCCAACTCCCCTGTCAAACATATGTGTATATATGTTATAGGTTGGTTAGGCTTAGTGGGGTACTCACTGTGCGGTACAACCCCTTAGGTTTCACCTTTGTACTTTTTCCCTCGATAGTCGACACTCACTTCTCCCGTAAGATTCTAACATGGTATAGAGCATAGGTCCTTAGGACCTAGGATTAGGGCCCACCACGCTTGCCTGCCTCGTCTAGAGCCTACGCGCGCCTCGGCTGCCTGCGCGCGCCTCGGGCGATCAAATTTTTTTTTTCCCACGTGCGCCGTTTCAGCAGCCCGCGCTGTCAGAATTATGCTCTTATAACTGCATGTAGGTCTAGCGCTAGTGTAGTTATCTTGATATCCTGCTTGGTGGTGTACCCCCCTTTCCTGCCCTATATGTTGTGACCCTCTCCATAGTGAAACCAACATTTTCTCCTCTCTCCTTGGCACAAACTACCTCGACTCCCTTGGCCTAGGCTACTAAGCCTAGGCCCTCACTTGAACCTAGCATTCACTGCTCCTACTATCTTAACATGGTATCAGAGCCTGTTAAGTCCTGGCTTGTGGGCCAGCCTCACTCTTCCGCTGCTGTTTTTCCGGTCGCGCGCCTCGGGCGCGTGGCGATTTTCGCTCTGTCACGCGCCCGGGTGGCGCGTGACGTTTTTTCTGCCCGTCGCGGACCCGCCCCTGGCGCCCGCGACGGTGCCCTGAGCCGCCGCGGACCCGCCCCTGGCGCCCGCGACGGCGCCCTGAGCCGCCGCGGACCCGCCCCTGACGCCCGCGACGGTGCCCTGAGCCGCCGCGGACCCGCCCCTGGCGCCCGTGACGGTGGCCAGAGCCGCCGCGGACCCG